ATAGGGAACCCTAGCTACCCCTTCTCCAGTTGTCTGGCACTTCTCCTGTTTTCCAAGATTCGTCAAAGATAATAACCAGTGGTTCTGAGAGTTCCTCCACTAGCTCTTCTATGGCTCTGGGATGGAGTTCGTTGGGCCCTGGAAAGTGTTTATTCCATCTAGGTATTCCTTGACCATTTCTCTGTCCATCTTGGGCTGCCGTCTCTCTCTTCCAGCCAGAACATCCTCTTGATTGCAGACTTCCTTGTGGGAGAAGACTGAGGCGAAGCAGCCTGAGCGATCACCGCTTCACCTCAGCCCGCAGGCTTTGGACTGCCTCATTTCCTGATACCCAGGTGCTTCTTGCTGCTGCCTGGCTGCTGACCGTGTCACTTGCCTCAGGACTGGGCCTAAGCCAGAGACAGTTCACAAAAGCTGACCCACCGTGAGCGGCACCAGTGCCGTAAAGAAGGGAGAGGTGCCACCCTGCAGCTCTGGTCACTCAACTGCACTGGAGAGCGGAAGCGTCTGCTTGCATCCGCTGAGCTTTAACCATTCATTCCTCTCTGTGTCTTCCTGGAGTAATTCCCGCCCTGACATCCGTCTGTAACTGACATGAGGAAAATCATTCTGAGGAACAGTCACACTGTTTCAGGAGAGTGAGAAATCAATGGACCAAAACAGCCTGCAAAAGTTCCAAGGAAGGAATTGGTTGGAAAACACACTCAATAGCCAACAAACAAGGTATTCTGCCATGTTAGGCATGGCCAGCCTGTCATGGCAAAGAAAGAAGCAAGACTGAATGATTTGACTGCCATTTTCCGCTAGAATGGAGGGGCAGTAATGAAATGAATACAATTTGCCCCAAATTACTTGCACTGTTTGGTCTACAGGAGTCGCTTGGACCGAAGCCGCACTTGCTCATCCAGCCCCATGCTCTTCAGTCTGTGGGCAAGACATTCAAGCTTGCTATCGATTGCCTCCAATGCAACCGTATGTTTTTCCCAAGTGAATTTCTCATCAGTGTCATCCAAAAGTATCAGACTTTCCTTCTGTTCAAACTGTGAGGTCCTGCATAGCTGTTATCCAGCTATCTCTTCTGCATACACCAGGAATCCTCATCTAAGGGTTGCAGTCAGACTCCAAGAAGAAAACCAAACGGGGTCAACAGCAAAATGGAAAGCATTTCAAGGGACTGTGAAGGGAGGGAACAAGCCAACTAGCTGCTGCTGAGAAGTCCTGTATGGATAAAGCCTCAGCCAAGTTGAATGTGGAGCAAAGCAGGAACTAAATCAGGGAACAGCACAAAAGCTGTCACCCTAACAAGTGCTTCTGTGCCTCCGGGGCAAGCGCAGGAGTAGAACCCTGTTCAGCCAAGTACTTGTCATGGAGGCACCTCATAATGCAGCTGCTGCTCGCAAATCTGGTACGTGCCATGCCAAGAGGCCACCCCCAGTGACCCCGTTTCCCCTGGAGAACTCATGGAGGACAGGTGACGTGCCAGATGGCTGGAGGAGGGCTATGTTGTCCCCATCTTCAAAAAGGAGGATCCTGGGAACGGCACACCCGTCATTCTGACTTCAGTCCATGCGAAAATTCTGGAGCAGATCAGGGTCTGAAGGACAATGGAGTAATTACTAAAAGTCAACGAGAACAAGTCTTGCCAGACAAATCTGATTTCATTCTTTGATCAGGATACCCCTTGTGAACTATGGGAATGCAGTGGATGTAATATAGCTTGATTTCAGCAAAGCTGTCAACAAAGTGCCCCAAGACATTCTGAAAAGCAAACTAGCTAAAAGTGGTCTTGATGGAACGATCAAGTGGATCCACAGTTAAATTTAGTTTAATTGAATTACAATATTTATATCCTGTCCTTTACAAAACATCCCAGGATGGCTTACAAACCATAAACAACAAATAATTACAACAAAATACAACATAATAAATACAAAAAGTAATAATACAATTGTAAAAAATAATAATACAAAATACAACATAGTAACATAGCAAAGCACAGCTGAGCATATGATGTTAAAACCAGGTTAAAATCTTTAAATATTAAAATGTTGGGCAAATAAAAAGGTTTTTACCTGGCACTGAAAAGCATATAACGTCGGTGCCAGGTGAACCTCTCTGGGGAGCGCATTCCACAGTTGAGGCCCTCCTCTGGGCATTCACTCTCAGTTGACTACAGACTTGGCCTCAAAGAGTGCTCATCAGTTCTCCAACTGGGGACCGGAAGCAACTGGGGTATCGCATTGTTCAGTCTCGAGCCCGGCACTCTTCCACAGTTTCCTTAACTACTTGGATGAGGAAGTGCAGGGGAAGATTATCAGATTTGCAGATGACGCAAATCTGGGTGGGACAGCTAATGCCACAGCTCACCGAAGCAGAATGCAAAGTGACCTTGATAGGCCAGCCTGCGAGCAACAGAATGAAATTCAATCGCAACAAATACCAGGCTCTACATCTAGGAAAAGGCTTACAAGAGCAGCTACAAGAGTGGGGATATCGGGCTCAACGATACTGCAAGTAAGAACCCTGGAATTGTCATGGATCACAGGCTGAACATGAGTCAACAATGTTGCTGCATGAAAAGCTAATGCTGTGTTTGGGTGCATCAAAAGAAGCACAGCTTCCAAATTACGTGAGGTGCTGGTTCTTATCTGTTCAGCATTAGCCAGGCCTCATCCTGAGTCCTGTGTCCAGTTCTGGGCACTACACTCAGTAGTGTAGAAAGAAGTTCAGAGGAGGGGTTACAATCCCATGGCAAGTGACTCTAATGAGAAAGAAGTCCAAGAGAGATGGAGATTTTTGAACAAGGAAATTACAGACAATTCCAACAAGAGAAAGGGTAGAAGACAACAGAAGAAGCCCATGTGGCTTCACAGAAGGCTTGGAGATGACCAAGGTTCCATTTGGATGCCAGGAAGCACTTCCTGACAGTCAGGACCCCGAGGGTGTGGAATGGGCTTCCACGGGAGGTCGTTGAGGCCCCATCGGTGCGGGTGTTCAAGGACAGGCTGGACGTCCACATGGTGGGCATGTCGTGAGCGGAGCCAGCTGGAGCCCCGTGTCACTCTAGATGGCCCGGGAGGCCCCTTCCTACTCGCTCTGTTTCTATGTTTCTATGATCTGAAATCAGAAAAGGACATGTGTAGGAAGGGGATGGAAGGCCAGGCTATGAAGGAAGAATACAAACTGGTAGCATGGAATTTCAGGGAAGGCATCAGGAAGGCTAAAGGAATTAACTAGGGAGTGAGGGATGCTAAATGTAACCAAAAAAAAAAAAAAAACCCATTCTTCAGGTATTCCAAAGTAAAAGACAAAGCAAAGAAATGGGGGCTCAACTACTCACTGTGGATGACAAAATGATAACAGATGGCAGAGAGAAGGCAGAAGTGTTCAGCTCCTCCTTTGGCTCAGTCTTCTCCCAAAAGAAGATCTGTAACTTCCAGAAGAAGGGGAAGCACAAGCTGAAGGAGCAGGTGGCAGCTCAAGACTGACAGGCAAATGGTCAAGGATCATCTAATTGGGCAGAATGACCAAATCTCTTGGGTACAATGAACATCAAGGAGCTGGTGGAAGAACCACTGTCTGTTTTCTTTGAGAAATCATGGAGGACAGGGAAGTGCCATCTTCAATAAAGGAGGAAAAGAGGAACCTGGAACTACAGATCAGTCAGTCTGACATCAATCCCTGGGAAAATTCTGGAGCAGATGATAAAGCAGTCGGTCTGCAAACACCTTGGAAACAGTGCAGTGATTACTAGAAGCCAGCATGGATTTATTAAGAACAAATCCTGCCAGACTAAGCTGATTTCATTTTTTGATTGGGCAACCTCCCGGATGGACTGTGTGAATGCCAAAGGTGCAAGATAGGTTACCTTGGCTACAGTAAAGCTCCTGACAAAGTGCCCCATGATCTCCTAATTAGTAAACTAGTTAATAGTGGGCTGAGTGAAACAGCGATGGGTGAATCCACAGTGAATCCTCAGGCACAATTGGTCTGAGGGAGGGCTCATCAATGGCACCTCCTCCTACTGTGGAAAGGTAATAGGTGGGGTGCTGCAGGGCCCATTCCTGGCTCTTCAACATTTTCATTAATTATTTGGACCAGGAAGTGAAGGAAACGATGATCAAATTTACAGATGATGCAGAACTGGATGGGACTTTCAGCTAATACCCTGGAAGACAGAAAGAAGATTCAAGGTGATCTTGATAGGTCAGAATTCTGGGCTGAAATAAACAGAATGAAATTCAGTAGGGACAAATGCCAGGTTCTGGACCTAGGAAAAAGAAATGCATTGCTACAAGATGGGGATTACTTGGCTTAACTATACTACAAGTGAGAAGGATCTTGGAATTACTGTAGATCACAAGCTGAAGACAGTCAGCAATGTGTTGTGGCTGCATTCTGGGCTGCATTGACAGAAGTTTCACTTCCAAATCCTGTGAAGTTCCAGCTTCCGTTTCCTCAGCACTGGTCAGGCCTTATCTGGAGCGCTGTGTCCAGTTCCAGGCACCCCGCTTTAAGAAAGAAACAGATGGGCTGGAAAGGATTCAGAGGGGGACAACAAGGATGACCTTCAGACTGGAAACAAAGCCCTGAGAAGAGAGAGGGAAAGAACTGAGTGTATTTAGCCTGGAGAAGGGAAGACTGAGGGGAGAGATGACAGTTCTCTACAAGTACTTGGACGGCTGCCACACAGAGGAGGGCCGGGATCTCTTCTTGATCGTCCCAGAGTGCAGGACACCAAACAACGGGCTCCAGCTGCAGGAAGCCAGGCTCCGGCTAGGTATCAGACTGTTAGAGCAGCGCAGCAATGGGCCCCATGACTTGGTAACTGTGGGCTCTCCCACATGAGGGGCATTCAAGAAGCAGCTGGGCAGCCATCTGTCAGGGATGATTTAACTTGCAGCCCTGCCTTCAGAGGGGGCTTGGATACGATGGCCCTGTAAGCTCTGCTGTTCTACATGATACTCTTCTGTGATTCTGTGCTAATGCGGCCAGTGGCTGCAGCCGCTTCCAGCTCCCTGCAGAGAGCTGGCACCAGCCACCTCCAGCCGTCCTGCAGAGACACCCGAAGTTAATGAAGCAACCATGTATAGGAACAGCCGTTGCCTAGCACAGCGCCGTTCTAAGTAAAGTGGCCACTTTTCAAATACACACCATTTGTTTCATGAGCGGTGTCTTGCTATACTCACCACTAAATCTTTTTTTGTTCCAACCAGAAAGATGAAGCTAGACTTTGGGTTATTCTCCCTCAAGGCCTCCTCCAGCCACTGCCTGGAATGCAGGAGCAAGAGAAACAGAAGAGCCGTGGTAGCGCTTTCGCACGCCACATCCCGAAAGCCAGACCTCGCCCCACTCGGGCAGCAGCCCTGGGCGCAGCAGCCCCGCTTCCACGGTGCCCCGAGTGCTCACATGCCGTGCCCGATGCTCCCTCAGAGGAAGAGGCGCTCTGGGGGCCTGCCTTCTCCCTGCCTGGCCCACGCTGGCATGGGGAGGGGCACCAGAGGCCCGCTCAGAGGAGCCACCTGATCAATCCCAGCGTGTGCATCCGCACTGCTGGCCCAGCCTCACAGCAAAGGGCGCCGCTGGGCCGATCTGCTACTGCTCTCGGGAGCACGGCCTGAGCGTGAGCAAGCAGGCGAGCAACAGCTTTGCACGGCGCACAACTGTTCTCTCAGCAACTCGCTTACTCTTCTTCCAAGAGCTGTCAACCCACCACATGCTTGCCAACTCTGTTCATCCTGAATGGGTCCTCGATCTCGTGGCTGCTCTTAGGTGAGTGAAATGAAAGGGAGCGGAAGCCAAAGAGAAAGTGATAATGAGAGCAACACAGAATTAGCCCGATGGGAACAAGAGGAAGAGGCGGAGAGCAGAGGAAGTGGGAGCCACAAGGAGAGCAAGAGGAAGATGAGCACATGCCATATGGTCTCCCCTCTCGAAAAATAACATCTTCTGCTGTGCCAGTCCCTTTCGAGATGGGCTTCCTGCCCACCAAAGCGAGCTGGCGACTCCACCAACCCTGCCCACTCCAGACAGGGCCCTGGCAGAGTGCTGGCACAGAGACAGATGCACAGCCCAGCGACGCACAAAGGCCAGATGGAGGTGCAGCAGGAGAAAGGGAGGCGAACCACACGCTGCTGTTCTCAGGCGGTGCCATCAGTGAAGCTAACCTGGTTCGGCCCACTCCACCGAGTTCCCCAGTGACCAGACCCCAAAGAGTCTCCCCTCCCACTCCACGAAAAGCAGAGGCGCGCGCGGAGGAGAGGGCTGTGCTCAGGCACCAGAAGAGCTCACATTCCCACGGGACACGGCAGGGCTCCACCCTCAGCCCCACGGGAGCCTGGCGCCCACAAGGTCAGCCTGTCTTGGCTCGCACAGCTCCAGGCCCATGGCCAGGGCTTCCTCTCCTGGCTTGTCCCCAGTGCATCTTGGTCGCCAGTCCAGCACACCAAGCGGGAACCCGACACCAAGCTGAGAATGCAAAAGGTGCTGTGAAGAAGGACCCAGTCTGGGACAGGCAAGCACCAAGTCCAGCTCTGTCTGCATCGGGCACCAGCCAGGGTTTTTCTGGCAAGCCCCCAGGCTGTAAGGCATGAGCCCACCGTGCCTCCACCACCCTCCCCTCAGTTCTGCCTCATGGCTCAGTCCAACTGTGCACTTCTCAAATCAGTTTTGGCTGGACAGAGTTATGACAACTTACTTGGTGTGATCCAAAGTCTGGATATCAGCCAAATCAAAGACAGTTATAATTACTGCAATGGAAGCAAGATGGCATTATGTGAAGTTCCAGGACAGAGTCGAACAGACAAATCTGTTTTGTTTAACTTAGCAGATGCCGAAAAATAATGTGGGGAGGGCAAGCGAGGAGCAAAGCTGGGGCTGATTAGGGAATGGCTAGTCATTACCTTACCTTCGGCTCCTCTGTAGTAAGCGGATGCAATGCACTTGAACTTCTCTTGACCGGCAGTGTCCCATCTGGGAAAGAGCAAAATGAGGAACCGCGTGAGCCACCGAGAGTGCAGCCTAAGCAAAGCCAGCAAGAAGCCCAGGGTCAATGCCACAGCAGAAGCCTGTGATGCTACTGGCCACCTCTAATAAGCAGCTCTTCTCCCACATCGTGATGCTGCTGCTGATATAAAAAGCACCACAGTTTTAGCTTTAGTTTTTATTTTCTTTTTTAACAAACAGAGAAGAGTACGGTGGCACCTCAAAAGCTAACAGGTTGCATTTTCCTCTCTGTTTATAAACACTTTTGTATCTACAACTGTGTTAGTTCAAGTAACATAAAAATAGCACTTCCTGTAACTCAGACACAGAGTGCTCATCTACCTCATAGCAAGGGGATCTGCATTTCTTACACAAAGAGGCAACTTACACTTTAATGAACAAAAAGCTAGATTTTGTTTGTTAACAAAGAAAAGCCTTATTAAATATTTTTTCCTTTTCCATTCGGCAATCCACAAAACTAGCCTCAGAAATACAAAAGCCTATCTTTCAGCTGATTATACTTTGTCCCATGGATTAAAATGATCCTCTGCCGATTAAACCACCAATGCTGTGCATCATGATCAGGAGCATGCCTGCTCAAAGGCAAATAAATGCCCAGGGCGAGAGCGGGTCTTACTCTCGGAGATCCTGCGCCTTGCAGTGCAATTCTCTGCCTGTTAACCTGGAAGGTCTTCCGCGTGCAATGGGTCTTGCACACCAAGGGGATGTGCACAGCAGGGCAACCTTAGCAGACAAAGCAACAAGCAAGAAAGATTGAGGCTGCTACCAAACAGGAGTAGTTTTGCTAGCACTCGTTTTTCTAACAAATTTCCACTGTATGAAAACTCAAAAGAAGCAGAGAGAAAATGTAGGAAGGATTCAAGAGAAAGGTAGTGATGTCTGGAGCCTCTGCAAACCTTCTGCATACAAGGTAGGGTGGTAAGGCAAAGACTTCATCTAGAAGACCTTTAGTGACCCCCTGCACACCTACAGGGAAGCAAATGTCTATTAAACTCCATTACAAGGATGCGCACTTCTCATGGGTGAGTCCCACTGAGTCAGGTGGGCTCCACTTCTGCACGGGAACTCACAGAGGTATGCAATTTTATGACTGGCATGAAGTCTGTTTGCCCAAAAGATCTGTCTCTAGGGGGCTCACTCATTGTGGCTTCAAATACACGCCATTCGTATGTGATGTTTGTGTTGGCACCACTCCAGCGCCTTGCCTCGTGCTCCTTCTGTTCTGGGAAAGCTGCATGGCCTGGAGAATCACGGCATCTAAGAGCGAGAGGCACATCAGCCTGCACACCCTGGGTGGCGCAGGAGTTCTGGATGTCCCCAGCATCAGCTCGATCAAAAGTGGCAAGCGTCACCCTGTTGTAACAGGTAGCGTCTGGGGGCTCCAGAGGGGTGCAAATGCCTTCCTGGCTACCACAGCAGAAGGCCACTAGCCTGGGTGGTGCCAGGACTTCTCCTGAAGTCATGGCCTTGCAGAAGGATTGACCCTTAGATGGAAGGATCTGCTCTATGGCCGAGCCAAGGTATGGAATGTCCCACTGCAGGGAATTATCTCTCCTTGAGCTCACAGGAAAGAGCAGCCCTGGGAAGCAAGGGGCCTTCTTGGTGTGTGGGCAAGAGGCAGCCTCAGCGGGGAAAAGGGAATGCCCAAGGCCATCTCTGAGGAATGCCGATGGCGGAAACGGGAAGAGGAAGGGTGAGTTAGACAGACACCAGGATAAATTTTCTAGTTCTTGACACCAAAATAAATTTTCCCATAGGACTAAGTTGACAAGCAAGGAGAGCCCCACATCTAAATCAAAACAGGTGCGGAGGCAAAAGGCATGCGTGGATACAATGGTGCTGGTAAGAGAAACTCCTTTGTTTGGATTACACAAGCCTGAACTAAAGCATGCCTGGAATCCCATGACTTTGGACCTTATCTAGGAATATGCCACTGGACTTTAAGACCCTGTTGCTCTCGCCTGTTTGGATTATGTGAGTTTGTCTGACCTTGTGCTAAGAACTGTGATGTGCAGATTCTTGTGCAAGTGACTGAGTTTGTGTCCTGCTGTAACAAAGAAGTTTGCTATTTCATCAGCATGTGTTTGCTTGCTACTGTTTTGAAGGAACTGCACCTGAAAGATACCTGTCAACTAGCAAAACTGCAGCAACAACTACTACAACATGGTCTAATCCTGAAGTGTTCTCAACCCAAATTAGATGAGTAAGTTACAGTTCTATCTGGGCACTCCCATGGTTTTGTAATTCTTCCCTTGATTCAAGCTAAGCATCTCCCAGAAGCTTTGCCAGTGGAAAAAATTCACTTGGTTTTTAAAATATGGTTAATATTGATAATAAACTATTGCAAAAGAATAGAGATACAAAATACATAATAAAATAGTCCACTTTGATTCAGTAAAAGAATCACAGAATTATAGAGCTGAAAGGCCACTGGGTCCAGCCCCCTGCTGTTGCAGGACACCAAGTCACACCATCCCACTCAGGTGGTGGCCCAGTTCCACCGTGAATGCCCCCAGGGTGGGAGAGCCCCCCACCTCTCCAGGCAGCCAGTTCCACTGCCATATTGCTGACAGTGGGGAAGCCTTTTCAGTGCAGCGCAGGGCCACAAGGTCGGTGGCCGGTTTGCAGGGGATGCCATTTGAGGCGAAACTGAGGGGACTGGTCTCTTCAGCCTGGAGAAGAGGAGACTCAGAGGGGATCTGTTGGCGACATACAGGTATGTGAGGGGGTGTCACACGGAGATGGGTAGAGACCTGCAGAGGAAGGCAGGACACGCTCCAATGGAGCTGCCCCGCTGTTAACATGCAGAAAAGGGTCTCAAATAGCTTTGGGCAGTGGACAGACGCTGAACTTGCAACTGCTGTGGATGCTCTCACAAAATGGCTGTCCTGGCGAGTTTGCCCATTCTCCAACGATGGACCTGGCTGCAGGGTAAAAGGCTTGGAGGTCAAAAGAAAAAGTCAGCAGAGGGAGGGGGCGATTGGTGCACGAAGCCTTCAGCAGGCACTGCTGAGGAGTCCTCAGGCACTGGAGCATTTGGCCGTTTTTAAAATTTATTGACAGGTATTTATAGGCCGCCTATAACTGTTGATTGCTGGCAGCAAAACGGTTCTCCAGCAGGATGCACCTCTGGCTGGAGCCACGAGGACTCTTCTTGTGCTGGCCTTCCATCTGCCTGAGGCGCCCTGCCTCCCCCTCACCACAGAAGCAAGTGCACCCGGGGGTGGGACCGCCGGCCCCCAGGGAGGCAATGGCGTGTCCCCCTGCAAGATGGCAGGCACTTCACGAGCGGAGCCGGCTGGAGCCAGGGCAAGGCCCAATGGCCCGGGAGGCCCCTTCCAACTCACTCTGGTTCGGTGCTTCTGCTTCTAAGAGGGGAACGCCACGTCTGGGACAGAGGCCGAGCGCCTCCCCGGCCCTGGGGAGCAGCGGTGCTTCCAGAGGCAGACAGAAAACCCGCACAGAGTCTCCTTTCCAAAAGAGTCCTTCGTGGCCCAGGTCCCCCGGCAAGGCCGGTTCCTGCAGCACCCCTTAAGCGAGGGGCTACTGACGATTCCTGGGTGGCGCTTGGGGGGCTCCAGCTCGTAAGACTTCCTGGGCTGGTCTCGGGCACCGGTGGCCCCGGCTCCTCTACTCCTCCGACAGTACCTGTTCTCAGCCGCTCGCCTGCACTTGGAATCACAGAATCATCTACTAGTGCAGTTAGAAGGGACCATGAATGCCACTGGGTCCAGTCCCCTGCTGTTGCAGGACACCAAGCTGCACCATCCCACTCAGGCGGTGGTCCAGTTCCGCCTGGAATGCCTCCAGTGTGGTAGAGCCCCCCACCTCTCCAGGCAGCTGGTTCCACTCTCACATTGCTGACAGTGGGGAAGCCTTTCCTGCTGTCCAGCCTGAATCTGGGTTGCTGCAGTTTGAATTGATTATTCCGTGTCCT